ATAACTGTGTGAGAAATGCATTGTTTGGTTCCTTTTCCTTGCTATCACCTTGAAGTATGGTTAGGTGTATTAAAGAGGCCTTATAAGTTTCCAGACTTAACTTTTTGAATTTTCACAAGTTTGCATTCTTTTCACCTTCTTTCTCTCAAGTATTAGCATTTAAGATGAAAAATATTAAAAAGCCCCTTTGGTTTGATATTTCCGGTTTGTTCAATGGAGACTATATTTCGAGTTTAAAATATTTTTATTGGTCATGTGTGACTTTATTTTTTTTTTTGCGTGTGTATGTGTTTGAGTATTTCATCTGTATTATGTGCCACATACTATTTTATAGAAGAGGCTGGAAACTTTTAATTTGGTTTCCATGGAGAATGTGTTCCTTTTAGGGATAAACTTTTGAAATATATTTTAATAAATTGGAAGTTTCCTTTTATAATAGATATTTCCCCTATAGGAAATTAATGTAAATGACTTAAAGATGATTTGTAGTATTCTTTCATTTATGCTATGACCTATTTTATTCTTTATTTTTTCTTTTCTCAATACTAAGGATTGAATGCAGGGCTTTTTCACTGAGTTGTCCCCAGCTCATTTTTTATTTTTTTTATTTTGGGACAGGATCTTACTAAGTTGTCTTGGTGAGACTCAAACTTGTGATTTTTCCTGCCTCAGTCTCCTGAAGTGTTAGAGATTATAGGCAAGTACTACATTATGCCCAGCTTTGACTTGTTCTGTTCTTGACACTTTAATGTAAAGCCTCTTGGTGGGTATTTTTTGTTTGTTTGTTTTGGTTTGGTTTAGAGACAGGGTCTGGGTTTGTAGTTCAGGATGTCCTTGAACTCACTAGGTTGGCCTGTTGGCCTCAGATTTAATGGCAGTCCTCCTGCCTCAGCCTCCCAAGTTCTGGGCTTACAGGTATGTGCCACCATGCCTGATGTATTTTTCTTTCTTTCTTTTTTTTTTAAAGATAATGATTTTGGGTACCTTAAAGATTCTTAAACTGGGTAAGGTGTGTATGAGCAGAGTGAATATTCCCCAAAGCAATGCCATTTACTGGCTCCCTAGTTCCTCATCATACCCTATTCTGTATAGTTTTCTGATCTGCCTGCATTATGCCCTCAGGGGGATACTGTCATTTAAATAGCCAAGATCAACTGTCCTATCAGATATTAACTTTCTTATCATAAATGTTCATGGCAGAAGAAATCAGATTTCTTGACTCAGAAAGTTTTCTTTTTTGAGCTTTGTTTCATGTTTTTAAATTTATTACAAAGGCATAGTCATTTTGTCTTGTTACTTTTCTTATTGCTGAAACAAAATACCTGACACCCAAAGTTAAAGGGGGCAAAGTTTATTTGTTTTTTTTTGTTTTGTTTTGTTTTTTTTGGTACCAGGGATCGAACTCCGGTCCTTGTGCTTGCTAGGCAAGTGACGGAACCACTGAGTTAAATCCCCGGCCTGGGGGGAAAAGTTTATTAGCTCACAGTTTGTAGAGAGGTTTCTGTCCATATCAGCTGGCTCCAAGGCAGGGTGGCAGGGCAGAGAAGCAGTTCATGGTGGCAGAAGACAGCAGAATCAGGCAAGCAAGCAAGGGAACCGATAAGTGACCTTAACAGCATCTTTTGCCCCTTTTATACTTTATTTAGGCTACCGGGATTAGGGCAGTGTCAAACTAATCAGCAGACTGATTTAGTAATCGCATGCCCCCTAATCCCAGCATCACAAACTCTAGATTTAGCCACCTCTGAAAAAGAAAAAAAGCACCACCTCATTCTCATGAGGCTTTGGGGGTGGGGGGTAGATATCTAAACACAAGCCATATCACATTTGTTCTCAATGTTTTTGGAGGTCACTACTTCATTTCCTTTTATTTTTTTCTCTCTATTCCTATGAGTATATTTATATTATGTATGTATGTGTCTACCTTTTTGAGGTGCAATTTACGTATCATAAAATGAACCATTTTAAAGGGAACAAATTCATTGTTATTTAGTACATTTACCATTGTTGAACAACCACTCTGTCTAGTTCCAAAATGTTTTTATCATCCCCAAATAAACTCCATACCCATTAAGCAGTTACTTCCTATCCTCTCCTCAGCCTTAGGAGGGTGTATGTTTTAAAATATTTTAAATTTAGAAATTAAAACTTTGTGAGATAATTGATATTTTAAGAGTAAGAGTATATATATGTAATACTCTGTTCTAAACACGTTGTCATAAGGAAATCTATTAATTTAGTAAAAGTGGAAAAATAAGATCACAAAATTGCATGTACTGTATTTTTGTTTATAATGATAAAAGGAAGGAAAAGGAATATTTGGTAGGAAACACACTAAAGCAAAGTGACAATGATTTTGCTCTAGTTTTCCTTTCGTCCTATAAAAGAGAATACAAACGGGGCCAGGGATTTAGCTCAGTGGTTCTGCCGCCTGCCTCACAAATGCAAGGTCCTGAGTTTGCTCCCTGGTACCAATAGAAAAAAAAAAAAGGTTACAAAGTCCTGCATAATTATAAAAAAATCTGAATAGTTGAAAACTTGGGTCTAAACGTAATTATTTCAGGATACTATAAAACTTCAGTTTTTAAGACTGAGTTTTACAGTGTTTAATATTTACTAAGGGAAAAAGATTTGTTGGAAACTAGTATAATCGGTTTTTAGGCTTCCAACTTATTCTTAAAACCATGAATAACTGTTTAAGTTGTATTCTAATGTATTTTTTATTTTAAAAAATGGTTCATTGGAGTGTTTTTAAAAAAACACTGTCATATTCACATTGTATGTATGTATGTATGTATTTATTTGAAACAGAGTAGTTCAGGCTGGCTTTGAGCTCACTCTAGCCCAGGCTGTCTTTGAACTCATGGCAACCTATCCTCCTGCCTCAGCCTCCTGAGTGCTGGCATTACAGGTGTGGGCCACTACCCGTGGCTTCACATTGTATTCTTGAAACACTAGAAAATGCTACAGAGATGTGAAGAGAAAAAAAAGCCAATAGTCTCCCCTCACAGTACTTCCCCCACACCTCCCTAAAGTAATCACTTCTAGCAGTTTGGTAGGTCTTTCTGTCATGCAGCTTGTATGCATGTATAATAGAATTGAACCCAGTTGAGCCAGAAACTCAAATGTCTTCAAGGATGGCCTCCTTAGTTAATGTAAATGTGTGAATGCACCGAGGAAAGGGAGGGAGGGACTGGCTAACTGGGAAGGATTTTACCTCTCAGAGTGTTCCTGTTCAAAAGCAGAGCCCTGTGCTGGCCAGACAGGAGAGTCCCTTGGGCAGAATATTACTGTGCTCTCCTATTTCCTTTCCTCCCTTCTTGCCTCTCATACAAATGCAGAATGAGAATAATCAAAGATTTATTTGGCTCATTAATGAGGGAACCATTATGATGGTAGAGCTGGTTCCAAGAGCATCTGGGAACTGAGTGGATGCAGACATTGAGAAAGAGCACTGGAATAATATTGCTAGACTAGATACAAAATGAGTTAATGTCCCACAGAACAATAAAATCATAATCTTGGGAATTGGCTGTATAGATATCTCTGCAAAATAAAACTCTACAAGTTAACCTGTAATTTCACAAAATTTGAGTCCTAATTACAGTTAACTGCAGGTCAAACAATGATACTTTAATATCTTTGGGAGACTTTATTAAATAGTGTTTCAGTGTGCATTGAAAGGACTCACAGTTCTTGATTTGCCTTATGTACAGCTTTGGCTATTTTTTTCTGAAATGTGAGAAAGACCTTTTATGTGTAATAATGCAAGAGCAATGAAAGTAGGAAGCAGATACTGGAATAGCGTGGTGTCCAAAAGTAAGGAATTTAAACTTCCTTAACAAGTGTTTATTGAGCACCTACTGTATGCCACGAAGTGGATTTGTTTTGATTCTGAGGGTGTGGTGCCTTCGTCTTCCTCTAAGAGGCTGGCTGTCTTCCCCAGTGATTGTATTAGGGTGTCACTTGTGAGGCTGCTCTCCTACAAGTATCACATGTGCATTGTACTTCTTCAGCCCCAGTGTAGCTATCCTCCCTGAGTAGAACAGAAGTATTTTGAGGAAGATTTATGAGTGATTTTTGTATTGCTCTCTTTTTGAAAACCATTGTTATAGTTATATAGTTATAGACTCCCCCCCCCCTTCTCATATTGGGAATTGAACCCAGGGCCTCAAGCACTTTATCACTGAATTATATCCTCAGCTTTTAAAAACTTTTACTTTGAGACAAGGTCTCACTAAGTTGCTCAGGCTAGCCACCAATTTGTGATCCTCCTGCCTTAGCCTCCTGAGTAGTAGGGATTATAGAAAGGTGTGTGCCACCACAAGTGAAGGAACATCTTTTTTTTTAACTGAGTGAATAAACAGTAAGAAGATTTTAACTAGCATTTAAAAAATTTCCACACATACCCCTTTTTGCCTACCCCACCCCTGTAATGCTTAAACTAAAACAATGCTGGGATTACAGCATTAATAGCAAGAATTATGTACAGTTATTTATTTTATGCAACTGAGAATTTCTTTTAGAAAACTAGGCTTACTCTTCCTAATTGCTACCTTAGGTTATGCCTCTTGCTACATAAGCTGCAAGAGTTATTTATAGTGGTATATGATCCACATGGTAAAAATACGTGATTAAAAGACTAGACTTTGAAAAAAATGTTTTGAATGTGAAAATAGGCTTTCACTGTCTTGTCGGAGATCATGGTGAGACTAATAAAGGAGAAAAGTGTCTATGTGCTTAACTTGTGCTTAAGCTATTTGAATTGAGTCAACAATTAAAATGAGCAGCCACATGGATGTGCATTTAATTTCTTTTCAGTGTAACTTTAATTAGGCAGCCATTTTGTGTAAATGCATTCACAAAGCAGGGATTTATGATTTTAGTGCACCTGTGCAGCCTTAGAGTTGATAACGTGATCACAGGATATGCATTATAGAACGGGAGAAACAGAGAAATAACATGATACAATTGCTACATTGTATTTTTCTTTTTATTAGTGTGCCGCTCCAACAAAAGCCCCTGGGTCTGTTTGACTTGCTCAAGTGTCCACTGTGGAAGGTAGGTGACATACTTACTACCTCACTCTTCTGTTTACTTTTCAAAATCTGCCTTTAAGCTCTATGTCAAAGTTTATTGACTTACTTTGTACTTTGTTTAGTCGTAGTGTATAATTCTCTGTAGGGTTTTGATGTCCAGTTGAATTACTTTGTTCTTTGATGCAGCTGGGGAAAATCTAGGGAAATAAACATATCCTATTGATACTCAGAAGAATTAGTTTGATGATCAAGACTATCTACTAGTAATATTGGGTTAGAAAAATAAAATAAGGAAACTTTTAAATCTTGAAATGAAAGTTTACCTAATGGTTATTTTCTAAGACTTTTAGTAGGGAAAAATGGGTGCTGTTGTCATAGTAGAGTATAGTTGAAGGTCATGTTCTCATCACCCAACTTCAGTAGTTAATAACACACAGCCAGGCTTGTCTCTCTCACCTCTTACCTATTCCAGCCCCACACTTTCACTGACTTGCGAATCAGATGTGAGATTGTTCTGGAGGGTAAAAAAAACCCCAAAATAAATATTTACACATACAGGAATTCATTATTTATTCTTGTCTAAAACTTACCAAATATTTCACTGTTCCATTAAAACATTTTGCTTTCCATGGACTTAACATCTCCTATCCCACCCTAACCCATTTCATTCCCAAGCATTACTTTCCAGTTCTTGGCTTCAAAATAATATTACTTAAATACTTCAGGAACTCTCCTTCTAACATGAACTCAAATAGCAGCCTCAATTTCTTTCAGCCATAGTAGCACGTTTATTTCTGCTGTTCTTTTAACATAGAAGATCTATTTTGATTTACTTTAAAAGTTAATAGTTTAACAGCAAGGAGATGTGAAATCATATTAAATCACAGGCTGAAATCCATGTTGTACTTGTCTGAAAAATTTCCCCATTGTCATTTTTAAATCTTCATTGTGCAAAGAGAGCATTTTGTTCAGTTAACTTTGATTTTTTTGCATTTTGAGTCCTGGAATCCAGTATTCCTTCCATGTACACCTAAGAGTACCTTTGGAAAATGTTAACTGTTTATCTTAATTGTGGCTGTTGTGGTTTTAAAATCTCTAGGATTTGGGGAACCTGAAAATACTTTGTACAGTACAGATAACTTAATAAAAAAAAAGAAGAAAAATAGAAGCATTTAAATTCTGCACTTGAAGAGACAGATTCCTCTCCTAGATTTTGAGAGGTGAGAATTATAATGCAATAAAATTGATGTAGTTCTATCCTCCAGTTGTCTCATAGTGCTCTACACCCTAAATCCTGAAGATCATAAGCTAATGAGAAGATCTCAAAAATTTCTAAGAAAAATTTGAAGGGATTAGCGTGCTTTTTTTTTTTTTTTTTTTTTTTGGTACTGTGGATGGAATTTGGGACCTTGCACTTTCAAGGCAGGCAGCGGAACCACTGAGCTAAATCCCTGGCCCAGAATTTCCCTCCTTTTTTTTTTGGTACTGGAGATTGAACTCAGGACCTTGCGCTTGCAAGGCAGGCACATTGCCACTGAGCTAAATCCCCAGCCTGGGATTAGTGTTCTTAAGAGCAACGAACGAGCTGGGCGTGGTGGCATATGCCTGTAATCCCAGCCCTTAGGAGGCTGAGGCAGGAGATTGCCACAAGTTTGAGGCCAACCTCAGCTACTTATAAGCTCAAGGCCAGCCTGAACTACGTAGCAAGACCCTGTCTCTAAAAGCCAGAAAAAACAAACAAACAAAAAGGCAACCAACAAACAATTCTCTAGTTAGGTTTTAGAAAAATAAATTCAAAAATTTCTAAACTGTAGGTAAACTGTTTTCATTTTGCTGGCAAGGTTAAATTTAGAAATCTGACTTAGTTTCAGAGAAATATGATTAAGCAGATGTAACATACAATTGAGATAGCTTGAATTTGGGTATTCATTTTACATAATCATTGGGGTTTTTTGATCATGTAATTCCAGGTGTTGATTGCCAAATTTATTGATTTTTCAGTAATTTTAGACTACTTGCTTACCAAGAAGTCTTGAATATTTTTTTCAACTAGGGAACATAGATTATCAATAGCATATTTGAATTATATATTCTGATGGTCTTCATGACACCCATGTATTTAAGTTACTTCTCAGATATTTGAGATTGTTAGAATCTGTGGCTTATATGATGAAACTTTTCTTCTTGTACTATAGACCAAAGTATCTGCAGTAATTAAAATCAAAAACTAGGTGGAGAAACCATTTATTTTTATGTAATATAGTTTATACGTAAATGTTCATGTCTAACTGATGCATTGGGTATTAGCCAAAGCCCTGTTAACTTTAATGTCATTGATAAGCATACTTCTTACTGTATCACTGACAGTTACGGGAACCATCTAAACTTACAGTGCATTGTGAGACTACAGTACTGTAACTAAATGAATTGTATATGTCTATGTGAAAATGACCAGTTTTCAAAGACTTGGAAGTGGTAATGCCATTTATTATTATTAATTAGTATTACATTTTCTTTGATTCTGAAGGCACTCTTTTTTTGGTACCGGGGATCAAACTCGGGTCCTTGCACTTGCAAGGCAGGTGGTGTAACCACTGAGCTAAATCCCTGGCCCATGAAGGCACTCTTCTTTATAAACATTACAATTATTTTTCATAGTATGTAATATAAATAAGTTATAAAAATAGAAAATAATTAGATATTGAACCTATGTGATGTCATAGTTTATCTTTTTAATTAAATAGCAAGTATCTTTTGACCTATCATGTGTTATCTCCAAGTATATGCTTGATGTACCCACTTATGTTTGGATTCTGAATTAAAAAGTATAAAAAGGAAAATGCTAATAAAATAGTTACATTTATTTGTTTTGAGCCATGGGATAATCACCTGACAACCCATGAGACACAAGTACTGTACTATACTAATATCTCCACTTGTAGATGAGAAAGGTTGAGTAACTAACCCAAGCTTGAATGACCAGGATGTAGCAAAACCTACTTTTGTGAATCAAGGCAGTCTTATTTTTTAGCTTATACTCTTAATCATTGTTTTACTTTAAAATTCATAATCTTCTACATTTGGGGACAGAGGACTCATGTGTACCCAATTCTTAGTTGTGTTTAAAGTACACTGACAAAATAGGAAAGGAATATGATTAAATTCTGAGTTGAGGTTAATAGTGCTTTGAATGTGTCCTAGGGATGTAGAACTGGCCTTGAAATTGATCCTCCATACTTACTGCACCAGTTTTACTTTCCTGTATCTATCTTACTTTTCCAAAGGTAAGTGCTGTTCCATGAGGTATAATTAGTGTGCCTCATGATGAAAATATCATCACAACCTTCTCAGCCTGTTATTTTGGTGCCTTTTAACAAACATTTGTTTTGGCTGTTTGAGTTTTCAAATAGGCCCATTCTTTTACCATTGGTTGTATTCAAGGGGCTGGGAGTTTATGTTATGAGGGTCGTCACAGTAGTGGTCAGTGATAGCACCGTGAGTCTTTATGTAATGGTGTAGATGTATTTGGGGGCATATGAATCCTTAATTTGGTTTCTTTTTGCTTGCAAATCTGAGTTGGAAAGTGTTACAAAATTTTTGTGAACATAATTAACCTTTGATTATATTTGTCTGTGTAGAGAAATAAGTTTTTTATAATCTTAAGATAATTTGTGCTTTCTCTGAATTGTTTCTAAACAAATGTTTTTCCATGAGTGAGACTGATTATTTAGGCATCCAAATAAAAGATAAGAAAGATCGAAAATTGTTATTTCCAAATCATTCATGTTTTAGATTAAGCAGTAACTGAAGCAAAGCCTATAGTCCTGTGGAAAGTGGTTGAGTAATTTCATTTACAGATCTTCTATTTGATGATACATCAAGTTGGTAGTTAGCATTCTGAGAAAACCTTAAAAAAAGTAAAAGAAACCTATAGCAAAAATATTAGCATAGATATTTATAAGTGATAATATCATCTTGATTGAAACTGGTTTGCATAGGTAATGCCTTGCCTTTCCTGGCCCTAGTCTAGAGTATAATTAAAAGTTGGCTGTCTTTTTTTTAATGACTGTCTTATTTAATTACAAAATTGAGTATATTTTAAGTAGGTGCCTTAATACATCACTAAATACATGCCCTTGTAGTTTTTTCTCATTTAACACTTAATTTTATTACCTCTTACTACTTTAATTTGTAAAGCAATAGTTAGATTAAAGTAAATTTTCATTTGGTTTTTGTAAGGTATGTGAATGGCCATGCAAAAAAACATTATGAAGATGCACAAATACCCTTAACCAACCATAAGAAGTCAGAAAAGCAAGATAAACCTCAGCATACTGTGTGTATGGATTGCAGTAGCTACAGTACATACTGGTAAGTTAATTATTTTCTGAAATTATTTCTGTGTGTGAGAAAGTGTACGCTCATCTTCCTTGCCTTTTCCGCTCTTTCAATCAGCTGCTACTGCCGTCACTTCCTTTTAAGGCAGTTAGGATTCACAGGGTCCTGGGGCCATGGGGGACATCCACTCCTACTCACTTTCTTTGTTCCTTTCAACTTCTAGGCCTCTTCTCTTTTGGCCCTTGCTCCTTATCCATCCCAGTAAGCTTCAGGGAAATGAAAAATGGCTATTGATTGCTGTTCACCATAAATTTTCTTTTTCTTGTGGTATTTTTAAAATTGAAGAATAATAACAACCCATGTTCAAAAGCCAACCAATCATGTCCTTACTGTCCAGTTAACATTTTGTCATATACTAAAAATTTTAATTTCTTTGTTGGAAAGATTGTTTTGACATTCTTCCTTGTCTCATGTCAGTTCTGTTCTCTTCTACTACCTGAAAAGTAAATGTCAAAAATTTGGTATATTTCAGTCTATCTAAGTATCTCATCCTTAAAAAAGAGGTTAGAGGCCCTATTTTTTTTTTTTTGTAATATAATCTACATGTCCATTCCATATGAATGACAGTAAAGTAGGGTCTATTTCTGTGACTACTTAGAATGGGTTATTTATATTACAAGTGATGTTTAATGATTTATGTCCATTCGATATGTCTAAAAAGTATAATTTGTAATTTTAACTTTGGTGTGAGACAAATTTATTACCCTAAGTAGCAAATTATGATGAACAATCCAATTTTTGTTTTCTAAAGATTGTTGACACTGAAGGGAAAAAGTAAGCTACTCAAAAGATGTGTTTAGAGCTATTTTTCTTGAATGTCACAGGAAGGCAGTATTGGACAGAGATGGGGAGTTTGAGTCATGCTTTCTATTCAAATGGTATGTTAATCTTTTCTACATAGCCCTTTGTTGATAATTGAGAAAGGTGCCCATCAAAAGGAAAAAATAGAGATCAGTGGTTTTCCAGGTCTTTAAAATTTATATATATATATATATATATGTTTACCATTGTTAGATTTTGGCTATGGAACAAATGTCTTAAAAGTTTAATCATTCAGACAGCTCTTTCTGATCTTTGTGTGGAAGGTGTCTAGACCAAGAAGAGAGAACAGCTACCGTAGAGGTAGATGAAGATTTCAATTAAAATGAAAGTCTTCCCAAGATTTTCACACAAGGACCCACACCCAGTTTATTGTGATTTGCTGCTGTAGAACACCTTTCTACCACAGCTAAACAGGCTGTTAAGGTGTCTTCATTAGATTTTTTCCTCTTTCCTTTAGGAAACTTACATACTAGAATGACATAGCTACCTGATTTACAGAACTATGTGTTTTTTTATGTTCGTAAGTATGTTTGCTTCCATGACAGCAGAAATTTAGATCATTCTTGAAGTATGTCATTATCATTGTTATAGGTCATGTCAGCTTATTCATACAAGACATTGAAAACATTCACTCTTGATTTTCAGTTAGCAGTGTGCATGAAATGCGTAATGGAGAATGTTGCAAACACGATTAAATCTCCGTGTGCTATAACAGGTTTGCAGTGAGTTTTCTTCCTGTTGGTAAGATTCTGACAAAACCAACTCTTTGAGGAAATTTTAAAGATTACCTTAATGGAGTAGAATTATATTCATAGGACTCCTTTAAAATATAAATTATAGGGCCAGCGATTTAGCTCAGTGGTGCCTTGCCTGCCTCACAAGCTCAAGGTCCTGAGTTTGATCCCATGTTAGAAAAAAAAATAGTATATGAATTATATACTTTGCATTTTAGGGAAATTCTTTTATTCTAAATTAGAACGTGCCAGGGATTTAGCTCAGTGGCACAGCGCCTGCCTGGCAAGCGCGAGGTCCTGAGTTTGATGCTCAGTACCAAAAAAACAAAAACAAAAAAAAACGAAAATCAGAATGTAATTTGTTCTACATTAATATAATCTGTTAAGTAGATGTTATTTCATGGCTGAATTGCAATTAAATGGAAAATCCTGAACCTAGGGAGAGTACGGAATGGTGTAGGCCTCTTGGCCAACTGCCAGTCTTTTGTGTGAAGTTACACAGAGCTCCAAGTGTGTGTCTACTCAGTTTCTGAACTGCAGGAAGGGAGCTGCAGCTGGTCAGTCACATTATTGCCTCACTTGAGGGTTTTAGAACAAAATGCCATGGAGTCACCTATAGAATTACCCTATCAGGCCTAAAAGGAATTTGTGATTGTTGTGAACTGATGAAGCTAAGTATAAATTAAAATTTTTTTCCAGATCTTAACTTTTATTAAGAAATAAAAAAATTCCTGTGTTCATGAGTTTGTGCATGTGGTTGTATATTTCCCGATGTGTGTTAGCAGTCTTAACTTTAGTGATTTTACTCCAGTTTATAAATTTTTTGTACCTAAATTTCTTGTGATTAGACTGAATGATTGACTCTAGAGGTAAAAATATTGATATGACATTTTATTGCTATTGTGATATTGATGTGAGGTTTAACATATTTAATTAGTAAGTATTTTGACTTTAGCTCCTTCTTATGCAGTGTGCTTAGTGCTCCAGAAAAGTTGTAAGATTCTCTGAAACTTAGCTTTCCTACCTGTGTGTGTGGGTGTATGTGTATTTGGTTGTTTTAACCAAGAGTCCCTGCCCTGTCTTTTCTGTGCAAATCCTTCATGAAGTTACCACTGAACTCTGCCCTCTATTTCTAGCTCCAGTTGCAGCTGGATGTAATCTCTCCTGAGCTTACCACTCTTGGGATTCTTGTAATTTCCTGCTGCGTGCAGTCATTGGGAACTGCAGAAACCATATCTCAGACACTTATTGTCTGGTGCAGTGTAGGCAATATATATTTGAAAGATTGAATTTTGTAAGCTGCCTTCCAAAAATGAGGAAGGTTACACCGAATCTGTAATACTGTGTCCTCTGATCATTTTGAAAGACTAAAGAGCCACAGGACATTTTTCTTGCAGAAGACTTACAAATGATGCCTAGGTGAACTACTTCATTTTCCTTCTGAGTTGGACATCCTTAAAGACCAGCTCCCCTCGCATCTGTTACAAGCTGGGCACTCAGAGAGGAAGCATGTTCTATATTATCTAAGCAGAACTACTGAAATAGGTCATTACTTCAAAAGAAGCAAAGCAACACCAAAAGGAATAATTCTGATTTGACCCAGCCCACTCATTTAGAAATCAGTGTTTCTAATACTAATCTTTGCTTCTTTTTAATCACAATGTATATACCACATGCAGTTCCATTTGCATTGCTTAGAGAAGGAAAATGGGTGAGGAATGAGGAAATACTGCGTAACAGACAAGAAACAGAACACTATTCTTTGTGTGAAAATCTTGGAAAGAGTTTTATTTTTACTGAAATTTTAATTTACCTCTTAGTTTCATGTTAATCTGTTTATCTCCTCATGGAGATATTAAAATAACATTTTAAAGTTTAAAAAGAAACTTTTTAACAGAGGTGTTCTAAAAATATAGAAGACATCCTTACAAAGTTTTAAACAAAGCATAAAGATTTTCTCGGCAGGTGTTCTTCTAATTTTTCATAATTGGCTTATTTCATGGCAAGACAATTTAGTAGAAGAGAAATGAAACATACTTGCGTTCTAAAGGAATTATTTTAGATTTTAACGTTTGAAAATTTGAAATCTATAAAGTCACTGTAATGTCAGCTTCTTTTTCTTTTTCTTCCAGTACCTGTCATTTACACTAAAATTAGGGGTTGAGGGTGTAGTTCAGTGGTAGAGCACTTGCTTCCCTGAGTTCTATCACTGGCACCATCAAAAAAAAAAGTATGTTACACTTGAAATCAAATTTGCCTCTAAATATCAAAATGTTAGGCATGCCTGGGTAGCTCAGTGGCACTGCACCTGCCTTGAAAGTCCAAGGTCCTGAGTTCAATCCCCAGTACAAAAATGTTAGGCAGGTAAATGAAAAGGAATTTAAAACTTCCTGGATGATCTACTCCTGTTCCCTTTTTGACTAAAAAGTTTATAATTATTTTTTAGTATTAGTATTATACATGACTTACTGTATAATGATAGCTTTTTAAGCAGTAAAGTTCTTTTTTCTTTACCATTGCTTAAAAACTTAGGTTCATTTATCTGATTCCTTTTGTTTCAGCTGAATGGAGAATGGTTTGGTTTGGTATATTTTCATAGTTCAAGAATATGATGTGGAATCAGGCTTGGGTAACTTCAGTAACACTAATAACAAGAATTTTAAAGCTGAGCAAGAGGTAGAGATTTTTCTCTGTGTTTGGTATGATATTTATGTTATTCAGAACAGAAGCATTTGAACAATTAAATATATGTCTTAAGATTCTTTTCTTGTTGCTGAAAAAAATACCCAGCACCTAAAGTTAAAGGAAAAAAGGTTTATTTCACTTCAGGGCTGGGAATTTAGCTCAGTGGTTCCGCTGCCAGCCTCGCAAGCACAAGGACCCAAGTTCGATCCCCAGTACCGAAAAAAGAAAAAGAAAAAATGAGTTATTTTATTTCACTTCACAGTTTCTAGAGGTTTCAGTCCACAGTCAGCTGGCTCCAAGGGAGTGCGGCATGGCAGATGGGCATTGCAGAGGAAAAACAAGTTCATGGCAAAGCAGGCAGCAAAGCAACAGCAGCAGCAGCGTGCCTGCTTTTTTTCTATCCCTTTACATTCCATCCAGGCTACGAGGCTGTTGATTGGTGCCACACATACCTAGTGTGAAGCTTCCATTATCCACACCCTTATTCTCAGTATCACACCCTTAATCCACATTCACCCACCCTAAATTCAGCCATCTCCAAAATACCCCACCTATGACTGCGTTAAGCTTTTGGGGGACATCTGGATATAAACCATAACAATATGGCTGGTGTGACTGAGAACTTAAATATTTTGTTTTATTTTAAATTAGTATAAATTTAAATAGCCACAGGTGACATGTAGCTAATAGGGTATATTAATACTGCAAAACTTTGGAAACCTTAAGACAGAG